AATATATATATATATATATATATATTTAAGACAAAAAACTAATCTTCCCTCTGTAGCGAATGTATATTCTAAAAATTTACCAAAAACATATTTCTGAATGTTCGTTCTAGGTATTCTCGAGTGAAGAGCAAGAGTTCAGTACAGAGAACAACTCGAGACTTTGTTCGTTTCTTATCTGTTCCTCTACATTGTTCTCCAACGAGGACTTCAGATTATCGGATTTCAATAATTACACACAAAATAAGCTTTTTTCTCATCTAACTTCGAGATAAAGACTGGCGGTAAGTAGTAATATAATTTCCATGCTCATTGTTAGAATTTATATATTATGATAAGAACTAGGACTTAAAGTAAGGTGAATAATAATAGTATTTGAGGTGGAGCAAAAGTAAACCGTTTCTTCCCAAAGGCCTCCAGTACTAACCAACAGCGCATGACGTAATGACCCTTTGCGAGCCGTGATTGGTTGCTCCTGCCTCCTGATCTATAAGTGCCAGAAGAAGGAGGAGGAGATTCGGAAATTAAAACAATATTTTTCAGTTGGGTATCTGCCAATATTCAAAGAAAAAAAGTTTCATATATGTATCTTTTAACTTAACTGACTTATCTTTAATCTTATCCGTGTTAAAATTCTAAGCAATATATATATATATATGTAAATGGTCTCTGTAAAATGTCCGCTATTATTACAATCTAAGAATGTGAATAACTTTGAGGTTAAAAAGAAAAACTTCTTTTGATGATCAGGTCCATCAAATGAAATGACGTCGTTTTATCGAAACCTGTTGTTGTACTGATTAGGATGGCCTAAAGTTAAAAGAGATAAAACATAATAGTTTTTTGTTCTAACATCCTCAAGAAAAACCGACAATCGTTCACCCGAACACTCGGTACAAATGAAATATTTCCTTTGCCCACAAATTCGCCCTCGAAGAATTAAGGGTCTCTTATAAACCAGTTTTCTTAAGTAAGGACTTGTGTCGCTAGTTTCGTCAGAACGAAGTTACGGAAAGTTAATTAACAAACGGAGACGTAACAGTATTATAAAAGTTGTAAGTTGAAAGTGACGAGAAACTTACTGATTGTGGAA